TCAGCTGGGACTCAAGCTTCAGTTCAGGTAAACAATTTGATTCGAATGTTAACTATAATTTACGTTGCTTGTTGTGGTTGATGATTTGATTATCTCAATTAGATACATGAATCTCTCGAGTTTCGATTTCTAATTCAAAGCTCTGTATAATCTGAACATTTAGGTTCAAGGTCTGTTGATTATATATATGTTACGTTGATCATTTCACTTTGTTTGATGTAGTTTTTGGAAATTATATTTGTTTAATGCTTTTTAATTGTGTTGTTGTTGTTGTTGTTGCAAGTCATCCTCATCATCTTGAAATCGAGAAGGCAAAGAAGATGCTGAAAGTAAAAACTGAGATGTATCCTACAATATATATATATATATATATATATATGTCACTTTGTTAACGTTATTGTTTGGCACTAAGTGCTTGACTGAACAAGCACTGATTAGCAATACAAATGGTAAATTATTATTTATGATAGCCTTTGAAAGATTTGGTTATGATAAACTTTATTTTTGTCTGTTTTGGAGGAAATAATCATTGACATTGACAGCCTGAAGCTCATCTTGTCATAATAGCTTGTGGCTTTGCTTTGGAGGTAATTTATACTGCTGTTATCTCTTTTGATAATGTTAATGTTGGCCTAAATTAAAGGTTAATGTATTCTCTGAAGCTCCGTCATCGTTACTCCCAAAAAGAAGCACGCTTCGATTACCAGAGTTTCAAGTGCATACTCAAACTCGTGTACTGCTTGTACATCTGTGCATGTGCAAATATCATTGTTTTGAGTCTAAGTTTGGGCCATATCTTGTGCAAATAAAATCTCTTGCCACTTTCTATGGCTAAAATATTCCTTCATCATGTTCCTTCTCAGGAATTTCACCTGAAGATGGTGGGGAGGGCTATGCAACATACATTTGCAGTTTCATCATCTTCAGTTTCTTGCAGTGATACTGATAAGGTTTGTGATTGAATTTACCCACCCAAAAAAAAAATTGTTATTGAATTTAATGGATGCTTAAGTATACTCTGACACAATTAATATATTGTGTCCTTGATTGCGACTCTTGTGCCTAAGAAGGACACAGCCCAGTTCCAATTTATATGTGTATGTTTATGTTTATTTTAAAATGTTGTTAAATAAAAAATTGAATTAAAAATTGAAAACTAGATTAAAGTAGTTTGATGATTAATTTTGTGAAGCTCATCTTGTCATAATATACTGTGTCCTTGATTGCGACTCTTGTGCCTAAGAAGGACACAGCCCAGTTCCAATTTATATATGTATGTTTATGTTTAGTTTAAAATGTTGTTAAATAAAAAATTGAGTTAAAAATTGAAAACTAGATTAAAATAGTTTGATGATTAATTTTTGTAATAATTAAGTAAGGTAGTTAAATTAATTTAATTATATATATAATATGTACCTTCTTAGAAGTGTCAATGCTTTTCTAATATGTACCTTTGGAATGGGTGAATTATCCTAGTTTGACTGGATGTAGGCTTAATGTTATTTGGTTGCTGATATATGCTTGTTTAGATTATGGTAACCTTTCTTAGGTAATTGATTTCAGGTGAAGCTGCGAAACAAAAATTTGGACGAGAAATCTGTATGTTTGAAACCCCAAATGCTTCTCTAACACCCAGCAATGTGTCTAGCAGTGGTATGACCACTAAACCATTTATGCCATTATTGTTCATCATTACCTATGGAGTACTCTAATAATGTGGAATATGTATTGGAGTACCCTCTTCAAATGCATGATTCACTTTGGTTAGCAGAGGAGCCAGATGACTTCTATGAGTTAGTTTTGTGAGGAAGATGATAAATGTGTATGAGTACCATTTATGTAAGAACTGAAAACTTTGTCCTATTTATACCAATTCAAATGCATATTGGAACCTTTATGGAAATCGAGGGATGAGACTTAGCATATCAGTTCACTTATAATGGGGTCGTTAAATGGAACTGCAAATTGCTATAAGTGTTGGTCGCTGTACTATGTAGGATCTCTATATATCTATATTCCCATATATGTAATTCAAAGGTTTAGATTGTCTTGATTTCAATCTTTGCTATCACTGCTTGAGTGTCTCTATCTCTCACGCTTTTATTTATTTGTATTTTACTTTTCTTGCTCTATGTTTTAATTTAAATGATCACTGTTCCCTTTGAGTTGTCTAATTGTACAGGGTAGCTGTCATAACTTTGTAGTTCCATCTAGTGCATCTCTGTCAGCGAGACATGGGCCGTCTTCTACAGATGCCGCATTGCTCCCTTTACTGAGGTCTTTCAATAATGATTCATCAAAAAGAGACATAGGCATGTCATTAGAACATTGTGCTGAGGAATCTAGTTGAAGATGTGAACTTGTGAAAAACTGTGCTTAGCCTTCTGACCAGAAAACACTGAATTTCTCGATGTAGTTGCTTGTTCTAATCTTGAGAGGATAAGGAGACTTAAGAAAAAAGCTGAATTTCTCGATGTATCTTTTAGAGAAAATGCAGTTTTCTCGCAGCAAGTATGTTTCAAAACTTTATTGAAGAATAAACATGCATCCTAGAATTATTTGACTGACAAGGACTGTATTCATACATCTTGATTAGTTTGAACACATCCATCTTGAAGAGCTCTCTTCTATACCTCAAGTTCCAGCCACGTAATCCATCCTTGCCATTAAAAGGTTCCTAGACAGATAAATCCTTGGTCCTTGAAAGCAAATACAGTCATGAATATAAATCTTTTAAACAGCTATTTCCCATCCATTGGTTAGACCAAAACATACATCTCATCCCATTGCCTAGTTTAATTGAAGCACTTGATTGAAAAAAAAGTTAAAAGACCCTAGGATTAGTTGTAGCTAATAATAAGATATCCCTCCATACTCTTGATAATCTGCTATGTTATTGGCGGATTGATTGTCACTTACCACCATGTACATCTTTCCCTGATATTTGATGTAGAAAATATTTTGACTCCTGTCCGTGGAATTGTTGCCAAAATTTTACATTAGGTGTTTTCATATTTTTAATCTAACATATTTGATCCTGATATTTAAGTTTCTCTCTAATTTCATAGTTTGCTAATGCTTAAACTGGTCTGTATCTTCTTATAATTTTTACTTACTATTTTCCTTTTGGGTTTCATTGGTTAAAGCCATATCTTCATACTTCAACAAATGTCATGCTTCAAGGTACCCCATTGAACTCTCTTCTTGGAAATTCATTCATGCTTTGTGTATATTATGTTCTACACCTCTGGGAAATCATCAGTTTTCCCCTGTTTTTGCCTCTTTGTCTAGACTTGTTATAAAGATGGCCCAAAGGTATTCTATTTTATTGGTCCTGGGTAAACAAAATTCTTGTGTGTCAACATTTTCCACTATTTTTAACATGTTTTGATTGTAAGTTCAGCATGGTCCATAAAGAGTATTTATTTTGTCTTGTATGGATTTTTGTTCTTAAACTATCCTACTACTTTTGTCCCTTTAATTCTGAGATGATGGTACCATGAATTCTAGGGTGTGGCTGGGAGTATGAGCTTGAGAGAGGTGCAATACTTACAAATTAACAAATTTTACGTTTTATCAATTTGTATATATACATATGGAAATTATTAACACATTATACTAACATATGGAAATTTTACGTTTTATCAATTGCAAATGGGTTTTCTTCAGGGACATCATTTACCTAGAAAGCAAGTAACATGCATATGCATAAAGGGTATATCATTTGCTGTGGAATGAGTTCAGACAATCATTGTCTTGATCCATACATTTTAATGAGTAGTTATAATTATCTGAGTACAGGTTGTCACACAATGGAATTTTAATTTATATCACAATTTTTTTCTTTGTTATGCTAGAATCTTATTCAAAATACGAATGAGATAAGACTGGAGTTATAATCCTTCATTTTTTAGGGGCTTGGCTCATCTAAATGACACCTCAAGAGGCCTTGAAAATTTGATTGGGCTGCAGGCCTATGAACCGAATACCGAGAGAGAGCCAAGTTCTGTATGCTGATTGACCCAAAAAATAGTGGCCATGTTTACTGAAAATTTGATTCCAAAAGTGATAGCAATAGGCACTATTGTTAGTCTATACAATATTTTAGTGCAGCTGCCTTTATCCCCATCAATGGTAACACAGACTTCTTGCCTAACATGAAATCAAAGCCTTTTGAATTTGTTGCTTTTTAAACTTGGTTGCATCTATAAGTCTTTGTTTAATTGCCACTTGCAGATTGAGTTCAGCTGTGGTGATTCATGACCATCATTTACTATACTAACACTTGTTCCACATTTGGACTTCATAGATTTTACAGCTTAGCTATTATCAAATTTAACATTAAATTTTTTCGATCCATCTAAGTAGCAAAATTCAAATTCCCTTATTGATCAATTACTAGAAGCGGGTCAAATTCAAGAATGATTGTCTTGATGATGGTCATACCAGTAGTTATTTAATTTTTTTTTTCCCTTTTGTTTATTTATTTTTATTTTTTGACAACTCCACTAGTACCTGTCACATGCTAGTAAAATTCTATACACAAATATTAGATTAGCCCAATATTTATACATTCTAGCGAAGCTATATACATACCTTGACAGCTGCACATTAGCTTATGTAATTTTAGTTATAGTATGCATTTGAGATTCTACTCTTACGTGCTATATTGACAGGAAGTTCCTTAGCTTTCAGGTTGATAACTTGGAATTTCTGAGGGAAATGAGGATCAACCCAATAAAGGTTGGTTTTTTTAATTTGGCAATAGATTACACTAGTAGTTCTATTATACATATTATAGTTCCCGCAATCCCTCTTGTTTCACTTGTTTTTGTATTCGCGACCCCCATTTGCCGTCGCATGGGCCGTCGCAAAAAGTCTTTTGCGACTGTTTTTTATTATTTGCGACGGTTTATAGCGGTCGCAAAAAGTGATTTTTTTAGTAGTGAAACCATTAAGTCCTGTCAATTTTCTATTAAAACAATTCAGTCCTCTTTTTAAAGAACACTCCCACAAAAGTTCTACTTTTCATATATTCCTCATATACCCCTTCTTGTGGCATTTAGGAAAGTAATGATGTTAATACTTCTATAGGATTTTGACTACCGTTTCTTTCATTCATATACATACATACTAGCGGTAACCCGTGCTATGCACGGGCAAGTAGCAAAAAATGGTAAATGATTTTGACTACCGTTTCTTTCATTCATATACATACATATATATACGTATGTATTTGTGATTTCTTGGTCATTTATATGATTTTTGTTTCATATAACTATTAAACCTTAGCAGGTTACAGCAGAGGTTTTTGATCAAAGCCTCTACTTATGGAACATTTTTTTGTTGGGATTTTTTTGGTTGCTTTCCATGATAATCCATGTTTCCTGGATTATATTGCCTGTATGATTATTTTGATTTTTTGAATTATTTTGATTTTTTTAGTTCTAATTAACAAAATACTAAAGCCCAATATTGTTATGGCTTGTAATAACATTCCTAGACACTATGCAATCTCGGTTGGACTATAATTTTCAAATGGCTATTGTGAGCAATGTTAGGTACACATAATTTCTATACAAAATGATTTAGAATATATAATATATGGTTCACATTCATTGAAAATGTGAGCTTCACCATAAAAAAGTTGAATTGTAACCCTACATAAATTTTTTGGTATATTTTTGTGCATAGATTCTATGCACATAGCCTAACTATTAATTTTTTTGATGAATTACACATGGATCTAGATGTCAAAGTGTTAACTATCCTATTTATGATTCTTGACTAAGTTGTTCATTAAATTGTGAGTAGAAGTGTAATTAATATCCATGAGAAAGGATAAAACTGGAAGAAAGCATAGTATTGACGTAGTTTTGAACTATTTTGGAATAATTTAGAGTGCTGCTATTAGCACCCCATCAATTATTTTGGACCCTCCATTTCTTTAGATTCCCACTTATAAATTTTAAAACCCTTAAAATTTCTTTTCACCCCCAAGTAATACCAAAATTATCCTTGAGATAACATTCCATTCATTCAATTGAATGCACACCCTCTACACCTCCACACCCCAAAAAACCTCTCTCCCAAAAACCCTAAGAAAACTCATAAAGGTGATTACTACTTCAGCTCCACATACTTGTTTATGACCTTACAGTGAGAAAATAAATGTAGACTTTTTAATCTTCAATCCTTAGAATATATCAGCAAGAAATTGGGTTGAGGTTTCTTTGCTTAAGAAAGAAGAAGAAGAAGAAGAACCAAGTGTGATTATTGTCAATTGTCTTGACAAAACTGGATTGGGTTGTAATCTCTGCCGCTTCATCCTTTTCTTTGGTTATCTGCTCTTGAACAAATAAGAAATGTTCAATTACTGTTTCCAAACAAATAAACAATATTCGGGCCTGTGTTCTCGAATTTTGGTCATATGTTTGGGAGTTTAGTTTGGAAAAAATGACAATCAATTTTTATTATTTTTGCTATTTTTTTCAAGAAACTAATCCTTACAAAACTAATCTCTTCTAAGATAAGAACATCATCAAAGTTATGAACCTCCTCGGAGCTTTTATTGTTGTACTCTTTTCGTCTTATGGAGTTGTGGTTACTGAAAAAACTTTTACTCATTGTCATTGCTAAAAAAGTGTAGGTAATCAATGGTTGCCACCGTCACTACCAGAATATTGCTGCCAAAGAGTTTTCAAGGTTTTGAGGGTGGGTAGGTTTTGAAGGTGGGATTTGGAAAAGACGGATGGGTGGTGATGGAGGTGGATGCTCTCATAAACCCTAGTTCATGATGTAGTGGATGTGTAGGTTAATTGTGAGATGGGGTGTCCTAAAATTATTGATATCCTTTTTAGTAAGTTTATTTGAGGTTATAATAATAATAATAATAATAAAAGTTAAAACATGGAGGGTCCAAAATAACTGATGGGGCGCTAATAGTAGCACTCTTAATTTCTTCAAAATAAAATTAATAGGACCTAATGATTTTTCTTTGGCAAAAGTAAGACTTATTGGTTATTTTTCCAATTTTATTTTTTTCCTTCAAAAAATAAAAGGAAAAACTAATAAGTACACATTTCAAAACAGAAGGAAGTGATCCATATCACATACCCACACCCATGTCGTGTTGCGTGTCGCGTCGTGTTGACATAGATGCTTCAGCAAAACTAAAGAGTCCATCATGTTTAGGTGCAAGAGGCACCAATTTAACCTAGTAATTTAGGATACTTAGGCCTCGTTTGGCAAGTGACTTTTTTAGTCAAAAAATCACTAAAAAAATCAAAAAGCCAACAACCTATACCAAAAAGTCAAAAATTCTCTTTTCTCTCTACTTTTTGCATATTTTTTCGTAAAAAATCAAAAAGTCATCCCAAACATATTAGTTTTTTTTAGCTCAAATTTTAGCCAAATAGCCAAAAAGTTACTAAATTAGCCCGTTCCCAAACGAATCCTTAGTTTTAGGTTCTATTTCTAATCTAATTTGTTTCTCATTTTTACTTTATTTCCTTATTTAGTCAAGGAACAAATATATATATGGGGAATTGTGTAAGGATGATATTTAACCTAACTTTTCTCACAGCTACATGTGGGCCGACAACTCTACTTTTCTCACAGCTACATGCAGTAACATGCCAATTAAGCAAAGTAGCACGCAGAGTAGTTGGCCCCCATTAAGCTAATAAATAGAATGTGCCACCACAATGAGGGCAAAATTAACTATCTCAAGACACCAAATAAAATTTCCATTAAAAACAACTATATGCATAGTGTAGATAGTGAGAGGGTGAGCTGGCTGAGGAGTTCCCTATCGGAAGATGGCAAACACTGACATAAATTTAGGAGAGAGAAAGAGGGTAGCAGTCAAGAGTTGGTACAACAGAGAGCAAGGTGATGAAGTTGCATGTTAATTCTCTGCATGGATGAATCCCTTTAGCAGCACGCAAGGGGAGTTCAACTTAGCTGAGGACAGTTGGTTCAACTTCTTCGGTTGTGTAAAATGAAGAGAAACTGAATCAACTCTGCAATCTCTGGCGCAGACCTCAGGAGATGTATCATATGTGCATAGAGGGTAAGTATGATACTTTGCATATGTTTTCTATAGGTATCAGTATATAAAGTGGAATAAATTATGTTTATGTTTGACTGAGCAAAAGGACATCACAATAATTATGCAGATACGGTAGAAACCACAACAAGAATTTGATCATTAAATCAGTGTTTTTAAAGGCTCAAGGAGCACCAAGGTGCTAAAGGTCTCTTGGGGCCTAGGCGCAAGGCGAGGCGCGAGCTTTATTGAAGCAAGACGCACAATCTTAGTAAAAAATAGATAAATTAACATAGACTAATGATTCATAATGTAATGTGTGATGTCATGAATTAATTATTTGTAATTTTTTTTTTTTTTTTTTCTAACAAGTATGAGCTTTCAATTTTTTACTAGACATTATTTTCATTACATGTACTATAATTAATGTACTGCAGCAAAAAAAAAAAAAAAAAAAAAAACCAGAGAAGAAGAATAAGAAGACTTGTGCTTGCTTATACAAACTGCTGCTATTCTCATTTTTGCATTATTCCATGTATGAAGCAAAAAAGAAAACAAAAAAGCAGGGGGAAAAAAAAAAAGAGAAAAAAAAACTTAGCCCAGCAGCAAACAACAAAGAAGAAGAAGAAGAACTCTGCCCAGCAGGAAAGAGAGAGAGAGAGAGAGAGAGAGAGAGAGTCGAAGAAGCAGGGAAAAAAAACAGAGAGGAAAGAAGAAGAAGAAGAAGAGATAAAGTCGAGACTCCAAGTTGAAGGAACAAAAAATAAATAAATAAATAAATAAAAATAGAGAGCAAAGTCAAAGAAGAGAAGAAGAACTCACTTGGTCCCAGACGAGCCGAAGGGCAGAGAAAGAGAGACACATAGCAAACTTTCAAGCAAATATGAATGGAGATTAGGGCATTTCGATCGATTTTGGGGCTGGGTACTCTCGCATATAGCTTCAGAGTTGTAATCTTTTGTAATTCGAGCCTTTAAAAGCACGATTTGAGCCATTAGATTCATTTAGAGATCCAAAAACAAAAGTCGCGCCCCCGTCTCGACAAGTCGCGCATAAGGTGCACGTCTCTTTCAAGTCGCCTCGCCTTGGGTACCTGCAGGCGCAACTGTTGCGCCTCGCTGCGCCTTGCGCCTAGGCGTGCGCCTTTCACAACACTGCATTAAATAGACCTATAACTCCTAACCCAAATAATTTAGTGCCAACATGTGATACAATTGAAGTAGGAACTAGTTTTTATTAGGTCAATGTACTTATATCTGGAAATGCAAAAGCAACTCGAACACATCTCAAATCTTAGAATACATTCATTATAAGTTAACATAGAGTATATATGCACCAATTTAAGGTAGGCAATGAATAAACTACCATATGGATCAAAGACATTATTAAGTTTGATACAAACAAGAACATGTGATGTCTAGAAAGAAAGAAAAAAAAAATGTGGAAGGTTCTTAATTAGTATCTCATGAGAATAATAGAGCTGTCTAATGTTATAGCCAAAGTGCCAGAGATCACAGGAAGGGAGAGGGACAAGGTATTGGAACAACATTAATGAAGCACAAAATCTTGCTTTGGTGTGCATACGTGGCTATTAAACATAACTAATGCACTCATAAATCTGATTCAAATCCAATATAGCACTAAGGGTACATAGGAAATGCATTGAATCGATTCTTTTTAATGAATTGATAATAATTAATGAATCGATCAGACTGCAACTTCAAATATGGAATTGAAAGGGATCGAATAGGAAATGATACTCTAAATCATAGAACTATAATGAACTATACTATCAATCAACATTTATCAAATTTGAAAAAAGAGTCAAGTGAAATGGTTCGATCCTCCTACTTTTATTTCTAAAACCGAGAGATCCATGAATCGGGATCCTGATGCACATATGCCTACCAGTAGTTCAATATGAGTAAGAATTTCAAGGAACAATTGAAACATTTCATTTCTAAGCAGAAGAGCCATTTTCAAGTAGTGTTCGATCATGTTTATCGAACATTCTTTAAAGTAGAGGTGTGGGTTTTGGTCATCTCACATGTATTCTTTATTTTATTTATATAATAGAATCTCTTTCCGTGGATGTAGGCCATTTGGGCCGAACCCCCGTAAATTATGGTGTTTCTCTTTTGGTTGTGTATGTGTTTATTTTGGTATGCTTTCGCAAGTATGAAAGAGATAAGCAATAACCCCAACAAGAAGGACCTACTAAGAGATTCAACAATTATTTGTGAGATCTTAATAATTAAACTATTGTGTAAGCCAACCTGATCCTTCCGCCCACCCTAACTGAAGTACGACTAGACTAGATAGTCTTATAAAGGAGGGGAAGATGGCTGGAGTGAAAAAGAACGGATGGAGTTCGAAGATGGGATATTGGGTTTCTCATTCACTAAAGCAAAAGTATAAATTACATTCCATCAACCAACTCAAACACAAAAACTAGATCGGTTCACTTCCACACCTAAAGCATCGTAGTGGGTTCTTTTAGTAATTTATGCTAGCCCTAACCTTCACAACCAAGAACACTATTGGAATGATATTGTGGACAAAGCTTATTCCATCAACTACCATTGGTTGGTAAAATCTCTTCATTTCCTCCTCTATTTAGCACTTACCAAGTTCAATCTATTTTCCCCCAAGGGGGTAATAAGTTGCTTTAATTCCTTATGAGCAAATTGTCTAAATTTTCTCTCTTCCCTCGTGTGGAGCCCCTATAGACCTAAAGGTTTCAAAGGCTTGACTTGACATTATCTAAGACATTGAGTATCTCCTTCCCCCCACTTTCAAGTTCAAGAATCATAAGCAAAGAGATCTTTTCTAGAGGTAAGTAAAAGATTCCTTCTGGCCTTATGCAATGGTAGCTAAGTCACTCTTTTCATTCCTTCAGTAGGAATAGACAAGTCTCATTCTTAATGTGAAACCAAATATATTCTACATCTAATTCCACATCTTCTGAATGTAATCTACTATCACTGTCTTCAACCAAAAACCTAGACTCAAAGAAAAACAAAATACGCCACCTTTGAAACATCAATAATGCAAATGGCATTTCTTCACACATGCACTGTCTATGTGGATGACAATATAATTATAAACACAAATTTTAAATGTATACCTCAATCGAACGTAGATTTTGTCATTACTCAGCAATCAAAAACCACAAAACAATCTTTACATACATACATAAATATACACATTTCATATTTTTTTACAGGGAGAACACATCTAAATTAATAATCTATTATGTAAATAACCCAGTTTTAAAATGGTCCAATTCTCGTTTTACGGACAACCAAGCTAGCCCTAAGTGCATATCTCAATCTAAAGTAAATGAATTGTATCAGCTTCATCATCCAGCAATCAAAAACCAAAGAAAGCACAGATGTATCATCTAAAAATTTAAACCTTATATCTATCTCTCCATCTAATGCAATTGAATTGTATCTTCTTCATCATCGAGCAATCAAAAACCAAAAACAGCACAAATGTTCATCATATAATATATATATATATGAAGTAGACATTTTGATATCTGAATTACCTTGGGATCGAATTGCATTTGCCAGACTTCAGAGGGAGGAGCTTCGAGAGTGGCGATGGTGTTGTTGTGATCAACATCGAAGACCCGCACGAAGCTGTCGAGGGAGGCGGAGGCGGCGATGACGCCGGAGGGATGCGCTGCCACCGAGACGACGCCGAGGGAGTGGCCAGTGCTGGTGGCGACGGAGGTGAGGTCGTCGGGCCTCCACAGCCGCACCGTCTCGTCGAGCGACCCCGTCAGGAGGAGCGCCGGCCGGTCGTCGGTCGCCGGAACCCAAGTCGCTGCCCAGACCGAGTCGTCGTGAGCGTTCTCGACCGATTTGAGACCAGCGAGTTTCATTGTTTTCGGTGCTCTGGTTTTGGTAAAACCCTAGATATGGGTTTTTGAAGCTTTGTGAAATTTTGTGTTTTGCAATGGTGCCATTGTGTTTTTTACTGGGGTAAATTATAAGGATGCAGCTCGCCTCTGTCCGAGATCGGACTGGACGGTGGGTGGGGCCTATCATGTGTCTATTTTTAATAATTAAAGCCTTGAATATTTAAAAATCGTTGAGTATTGTAGTTTTATAAAAAATTATATTGATGGAATATTTATAATTATGTGATTAAATTAATTTTGTATAAAAAAATAGGACGATAAATAAATTAACGGTTGACAAAAAAACTAATGAGATAGTTATCAATATCTGATCAATGTGATTTTTTACAAGTGTATTGTACTCGACGAGTTCTACGGATTCAATTATTTGAATTATTAAAAAGTGATCCGTGATGAACCCTTATAGACGGAACAATACTGTTTAATTTGATGTCTGACTGGAGCTTAAGCCGCTCCCAAATTATAAATACAGCCGTGAGGTTTCTCAAAAAGCTTAGAGTAAACTTTGTCAGTTGTTTAAAATATAAATTATTTTGTGAGGTTTGAAAAATTATAAATATTTTTTTATTAAAATTTTTTATTTAATGAAATTAATTAAAAAAATAAAATTTATAATTACTTTCTTATATAATAATAAAATTATATAAATTATTAATTGAAATATATTTTTAATCATTAAAAACTATTAATAAATTATTAATTAAAATATATTTTTAATATCATTAAAAATTATTAATTGACTTAATAATTTAAAAAAATATTTATAAAATCATGTATAAAAAAATATTTTCTTGTTAAGTGAATTAATAGAAAAATTACACCCTGAGATTAATTGAATCACCCTAAGAAAAATATTTATAATTGATTAATTTAATCAAAAAATGTTTATAATTTTTTCTAAATCATTAAATCTAAATATTTATAATTATGTTAAAAAAATCATAATTGCTCTCCTATATATTAATAAAATTATTTAAATTATTAATTGAAATATATTTCTAATATCATTAAAAATTATTAATTGACATTATGATTTATTAATAGGGAAGTGATTGAGACACCCTCCAATCACCACCCCCACTACCCCCACACACACGTGGCGGGTGGTGATTGGAGGAGAAGGAAAAAAAGAAAAAAAAAAAAAAAAACTGGCCAATCAGAGAGAGAGAGGGTCAAAGGGGGTGCTTCCTTGAGGAGGTCCAACTCATTTTCCTTTATTAATATAAGGGATGATTTGTTATGAAATTAGAAATCTCAAGGGGTCGAATATAATTTCCAAAACTATAAGGGTGATTCGCATTCTAACCAAATCTCAAAACTGTATTTGTAATTTATCCTTTTTACTATTTTATTTATTTAAAAAAAAAACATTTTATCTAGTTAGATATGTTAGTATTCCAAGAGTTGTTGTTGCTATATCAACTCTAACCCTTGACATTTTCTCACTGCACCCATTCACGTAGAAGAAGCTATTTGGGTATACTTTTATCTAGTTAGATATGTTAGTATTCCAAGAGCTGTTGTTGCTATATCAACTCTAACCCTTGACATTTTCTCATTGCACCCATTCACGTAGAAGAAGCTATTTGGGGATACTGCCGCAACAGCAGCAACTGCTGTCGTTTTTGGTGTGAAGGTGATTTTAAAATTAATCCCGCAGCACCCGAGCTTCGAACCCCTGACCCCTTCAAGAGATGTGCCAACGCTTACCACTGCGCCAGTCAGTATCCTTACTGTTACTACAGACATATATATTATTTATACCTTATACCTTATAAATATACAGTATGTTCTGTTTTGGAATTTTGTTAGTAGCTCCGTTTTGGAATTTTGTTAGTAATTCCGTTTTGGAATTTTGTTTGTTTAAAAAATCATAAAAATCAAAACTACACCATTTAAAATCTTACACTTTATTTTTTTCTTTTTTTTTTTTTATAATCTCAAACAAACTCTCAACTATCAGTGTCTCAAAACTTGAAAAAGTTTGTTCTCACGGGCCAACCATCTATCTACCTTCGCTGGACACTTTCGTCGAGGACTTTGTATCGCTTGCACCATACTATTCAGGTTTGTACTAATACAACATATTTTCTCTTTGAATATTGGCAGTCCTCAAGAAAAAACATATAATTTTATTCACTATTGTGATTGTGATTGGTTGGTTTTTTTTCCTACATAATGTTACGAGTTTTTTTTTTTTTTCTCTGTCTTTAGAACTATTGCTTTGGTTATTAATACTAGATGCTAGATGTGTCTACCTTTATTGTTGCCCCTTTGTGCATTGCTTTGTTGAGTCTCTACATGCTTTTATTTTTATTTTTTTTGATATCAATAAAGTGAACAATAAAATATATAAATAAATTAATATAAAATTAATGAATGACTAGATTTAAGATTTTTTATTGTTTAACTTTTATTTTATATTTTCAAAACCAAGAAAAATAATGTTACATCTATCGTATTGTTATACCGTATTATATTTATCATTTTATTTGTCAACAAAATATTATTGTAATGATGAATTTTGAAGAATAAAAAAAGGTGAATCTTAATTCTTTCAATTGGTCAATTGGTGATTGTTCTTTGTCAATTTTTTCTCTGCCCTTGAATGTTAGGTTGTTTTGAGGTTAGAAACATTATTTTTTTAATTAGAAGGCATTATGTTCTAGAGAATATGTTATGCTACTTCAAAATTAGAAAAGATAATTCTAAAAATTTTAATAGTAAAACTTGGGCATTTATTTTATTTTATTTTATTTTATTTTTTTACAGTGACATCTATATAAATTTTATGTCATGACAATCTCAAAAATCTTACCTCACTTTTATATTTGTTCTCAATTTTTTAGATTTGTTGGTGTTGGAACGGAGAATGATGGACATGGGGGTTGTAGCAAAGATATGAGGGAGTTGACCAAAGATAAAACACCATGTCTTAGCATGGAATTTCATTCAGAGGAAGCCGCATATCAATTCTATAATGAATATGGAAGGATTATGGGGTTTGGCATTAGAAGAGATTACCATAGCAAAAGTAGAAAAGATGGTGCTATGATTAACAGGAAGTTTGTTTGTTGTAAGGAGGGAGAAAAAGAAAAAGATAAATGGTACATGATTGTAAATCATCCTAAACATGAGACAAGAACAAAGTGCAATGTATTTATGTATGTATCTTTGGATCGAGACTTGTCGAAGTGGATAGTGAAAAATTTTGATGACGACCACAACCATCATTTGCATCTTCCTCAGTGCACACATTTGATACCATCTCAAAGAAAGTTATGTCAGGCCCAGGCTTTGAATGTTGATATAGCTAATGACACTGGTATCTTTCTTAAAGCATCACGTGATCTCATTAGTGCCTTAGCAGGGGGAAAAGAAAATTTGGGATTCACGGCAGAGGACCAAAAACGCTACTTGCGTGGAAAAAGACAACAGAATTTGCAATACGGGGAAGCTGGGAGTTTATTAAGATATTTTCAGCAACAAGCAGCTGAAAATCCATATTTTTACTACGCAATTCAATTGGATGTGAATGAGATGATTACTAATATTTTTTGGACTGACCATAAGATGATTACAGATTATGAACTTTTTGGTGATGCCGTATCATTCGACACAACATTTCGAACAAATAAAGAGTATCGACCACTAGTTTTATTTACTGGCTTTAACCACTTTAGAAAGACAATGATTTTTGGTGCCTCGTTGTTATATGATGAAACTACAGCTTCGTTTGAGTGGTTATTTGAAACCTTCTTGCATGCAATGTCGGGGAAAAAGTCTACCAGTTTTTTCACAGACCAAGATCAGGCAATTACAAAAGCAATATCTAAAGTCATGCCTAAGGTTTTCCATGGATTATGCACTTTTCACCCAATGCAAAATGCTTTGAAGCATTTAGGGTACTTGTATAAGAGTGGTTCAAAATTTGGTAGTGATTTCAAAACTTGTATTTTGGATACGAGGATGAACACGAGTTCATTGATGCTTGGGATTCTTTGATTGATAAATACAACTTGCATGAGAATGTGTGGATGAAGAAGACTTGGGAAAAAAGAGAGCAGTGGGCGCACGTATACATGAAATACTTGTTCACTGTAGGAATGCGAAGCACTCAACTTAGTGAAAGCCTGAATGCAGCATTAAAGAGGTATTTGCAAGCTGATCATAATATTGTTCAATTTTTTACCCACTTCAATCGGATTGTTGTAGATAAGCGGTACGAAGAAGTAAAAGCTATATATAATTCTAGACAACAATTGTCGAGAATGAAATTGAAAAAGTCTCCTATGTTGAACCAAGTTGCGAATTTGTACACCCCTCCTATCTTTGACTTTATTTCATAATGAGTTGGATATGTCTCTTTGTTGTCAAGTGAAGCAATGCCATGAGTTAGAAGGAGAAGTTTGGTATGTGATTAGCTTGTATGGTGATGATAGAGAGTATACTGTGGAGGGTAATATGGAAGTTAATGAGTTATAAGAAGACAAAATTTGTCAAAGAATTCATTGCACTTGTCAAAAGTTTGAAAACATTGGAATTTTATGTGGTCATGTAATTAAAGCACTTGATAGAATGAATGTTGTGGAAATTCCTGAGAGGAACATATTAGGTCGATGGAGATTAGATGCCAAGAGTGGAGAAATTAAGGGAGGAAAAGTTGAAGTGGATGAGAATGATCCCAAGTTAGAGATATTAGCACGTTACAGGGATCTTTGTCCTAGGATGGTAAAGCTAGCAACTCAAGCATCTGTGTATAAGCCTGCTTATCAATTGGTTGATGAAGGGATTAAGGAACTATGTACAAAAGTGAATAAAATGATGGTATCATTTGATGATTCGAGTGCTTGTGGTAGTGGAAGCAACATTGACATGAGTTCTAATCCTAACTTTGCACGAGTTAAAGGCTTAAAAAAAAAAAGAAGGTGGACAGAAGGGTGGGGGTAGGTTAAAACCTTGGCATGAGAAGACTAATAAGAGAACAAAAATTATTTCACAACTTACCGACCATAGTAAGGTATTGTTTACATACTTGATTCTAATTTTTGTTTTCTTTTTGACTCATGCAATGTATTGATAAATGTTATAATTTT